CTTCAGAGAGAAAAACAATCTCATTCACAATCTCTGTTGTTTTTAATTTGACTATAAGGTTGTTTTCCAGAACCAAGAGCACACACTGTACAGGGTCACTGGACTGCTGGACACTGGACAGCGCAAAGCCCACCCAGCCACAGGTCACAGAGCTAAGAGCAAAGGGAAATGCCACCTCCTTGCCCCTCCCCACGCCACTGCAGAACTGAGTGGGTGTGAGAGAGACCGGGGCCATGAAAGAGAGGTATCTGGAGGCAGTGATGGGTGGAGCGTCAGGTAGAGACCTAGAGGGAGTTGAAAGTGTGTCCAGTTGGTTTACATCACCACAGTGTGACCTTTGAGACCTACAGGTGGTTCGTGGAGTCTGGAGAGACAACCCCAAAATTCACATACACACACACACACACATACACACATACACTCACACATTCACATTTACATATAGATACATGAAAAAGCAGAACATGAGAAAAAGCATTTTAAAAGTTTACTCCAATGTAAACACATATTTTTAATTGTCTATCACTTGAATCTTTAGTTGAATCAGTATTTTTTGAGACCAGAAATGTTCATTTGAATTCTATATTGTCATGGACATAATTGACGTCTGTCCTGACACTTTTGATTTGTTGATTTTGTACTGTGTGAAGTAATTACATTGATGAGAATTAGATCTGATAAAAACACAAATTAGAGAAGTAAACTGCGCTTGCTTTTGTCTGAGAGACATTAGCAACAGCATGAATAGAAATTGTCTTTAAAGTAGAATCAAAGTGACTTAACCATAGAGAGTAACTATTGCATAACAAGCTGTGTACAGGAACTGAGACACTGCACCATTGACCAGAAGTGCATCGCAAATGACCTGATGTGCTTCAAGTGAAAAGACTGTATCTGGAGATCCTGATGTGCATCTGGAGAGACCAGAACCATGGCTTGGACCCTACTGATGTCCAAGATGACCTGACCTGATGACGACTGAGACTCACCCTCAGGGGACACTGAGGACCTGAGGATCTGAGAGAGAAAAACTGGGGAGTGATGTTTATATTTTTAAAATCATACATTGATGAGTGCTAAATGAGAGAGATACTCATGATTCTTTCTTTTGTTTTTGTTTGTCCCTAGCTTCTGGACATCTGATGATCTATTGGACACAGCCATTTGCAGAACAAGAACCAGCCAATGAAACGTCTATTGCCGATGTTATTGCTACAACCAGAAACTGTGACAAAATGCAATATACATGTTAAGTAGTATTGACAGACATCTGACAGACAAAAACTTTGAAAATGATAAAGTATAAGTATTGTAGCGTTTTAGTAGATGTTAAATAGTAGTAAAAGAGTAGAATTTGACTTCCTTTGTTGTTCATAAACATATTTCCACATAAGAGTTAAAATAGTACCATACAATGTTATCCTTTTGATAGATCAGCTATAATATTAGAATCAGAGTTATGTTACAGCCATTAAAAGTGACAGATGTCACAAATTAGAAATATGCCTTGACTCAAGCTGCAACCGAGCTTTGGAGTCAAAAAATAGAGTAAAAATAGGAATAGATAAATGCATCAACCATAGATGCTTTCAAAAATAGAGAATATTCTTAGCCAGTGCTAATATCAAATGGTAAAGGGACCATTTCACAAGCATTTACTTCAAAAGTAGATAAAGTTACTTACAGTTTATGTACAGTTTTATTAGATACTTGTCAAATTCACTTCTGTTCAAACATTTGTGAATGTTGACAATGCAAAAAGTTTATGAGTGTAGCCTAGATTAATGCCTAGATCAATGAGATAGATTAGAACCAACAGAGATTCCAAAAGCATTTAAAAGCATTTTGATGCATTTGGGTGTAGCCCAAAAACACAATAGTAGATATTTAGATATTGAGAAGTTTCCAGCACAAAATACCATTGTAGAATACGGTCCTTATTGCCAGTCTCTGTAAAAATATGGAAAGGACCCCTGGAGGTTTACTTTCCTGAAAAAAGTGTGTTATGTGTCGGAACCCTGGTGGTGGGTTGCGGGATATCAAGGAGGGGCACACTGGGGCAATTTCAGTCCAGCAGGCTGGAGCCAATCATGGAGCAGCACAACAGAGGAAATCAGGTGTCAGGCTAGAAAAAGGTGCAAGTGTGTGGTTCATTAGGCTGCAAGAAATCATGGAGGAGCACACTGAAGCGCACGCTTACAAACCACTGGTAAGTGCTGACTACAAGTCATGACTTCAAATTGTTATATAGAATGATTACAAATTATTTGTTGTTTGTGCAGCTTAGTCAAGAGTCCCTAATTGATGAAGTCGACTCAGATTCTGACGATTTAACTGTCAAGAAGAAACCTGTAAAAAAGTATGGAAAAAGAAAAATCAAAAACACTTTTCTTCAAGACTCGGAAAGTGACGAACCAAAGGCAAATAAGATTGTTATCATGCCAGCTGCAAAAGAAGAAAAATGGGGGGCGAGTATACAGCAAGAGACACTTCTGCCTCTACTGTTCAATGTCCTGCCACAAAATGTCCCGTCATTTGACTAGAAAACATGGAAATGAAAGTGACGTAGCCAGAGCATTGGCTCTACCTGTGAAATCTAAAGCACGTAAACTTCCGTTTGATTTGATCAGGAATAGTGGAGAAACCGTGAGCACAATTTTGAGGTTTTAAAGGCCGGCATTGGAACTTTAGTCCCAGCTAAACAGCCAAATTCCCCAGTTAAATCCAGTGAGTTTTTGCACTGTATAGACTGTGGGGCATTGCTTAAGCGAAAGTCGCTGTGGAGGCATGTGGCCAGGTGCCGGCTTTCACAGAAAGATGCCCCAGGCTAAACCAGGTAGAAGTAGGGTCCAGTCCCTCTGCTCCCTAGCCCAGCCTGTACCGGAGGGCATCAGCAAAAAGCTGTGGTCTTTAATTTCGGCAATGCATCAGGATGAGGTCACGGGTGTTGTCAAAGCAGAAAAGGGGATTCTGAGACTCTGGAGAGCACCTGTACGTTAAAACACGGGCATGATAAGACAAAGCATGATTACATTAGGCAGAAAATGAGAGAAGTCGGTAGGTTAATTAACGAAGCAAAAACCGCAGGGAAACTGAAAACAATTAAGGATTTCTTTATTCCTTCCAACTTTAACCATGTGATTGATGCAGTCAGGTCTGTGGCTGGATATGATGAGGAAACAAATCAATACAAGAAACTCCCATCCTTGGCCCTCAAACTCGGCCAGAGCCTCAGAAAGCTAGCAGATATTCTTGAATGTGACTCAAAAATGGAGCATTGTGTTTGATGAACCTATTTTATTAAAAACCTCCAACGAAGCCGGCTGCTTTTTGAGAAGAGGTGGGACGTCTGTGTTTCTTCTGGCTGCCCTACAGACCCTCCGGCAAGCCAAGTGGAAAAACACTCCGGACCTGCTCCCTCTGACTGAGGACGTTAGAGCCATGCATGCACATATTGAGGGTATGTCGACCTGAATATGTGCAAACCCTAATAAGTGAGCCAACGTCTAAGCATTGGTCTAAAACTGGCAGGTTTTGACTCTTTGTGAGGTCATCATTTTCAATCGAAGAAGGGAAGGTGAGGTTTCAAAGATGCCACGAGGGACAGCCTTTTTACCTTAAGAAGTAAGACTGGGATCCATTCTGACATTGCTCTGGGACTGTCCCAACTTGAGAAAAAGCTGTGTCAGCATTTTCAACGCATTGAAATTAAAGGGAAAAGAAGTCGGAAAGTGCCGGTTCTTTTGACTCCTGAAATGATTGCTTCGATGGAGGTGCTGGTGGAGAACAGAAGGGCCTGTTCCATCTCTGACCATAACCCATACTTCTTTTCCCACCCGGGCGCAGACACCCACATCAGGGGAGCAGACTCCCTACGCCAGGTAGCCAAAGAATGTGGTGCGGTGCATCCAGAGATGCTATCCTCAACCAAACTTAGAAAGCACATAGCTACTATGTCTACAGGTTCTCAATATGAAAGAGAATGAGATGGACATACTTGCCAACTTCCTCGGCCATGACATTCGCATCCACAGGCAATATTACAGACTACCAGAGGGGACCACTGGAGCTGGCCAAAATCAGCAAAAGTGTTGATGGCCATGGAGCAGGGAAGAGTGACGGAATTCGAAGGAAAGAGCCTCGACCAGATACAAATTGAGCCTGAAGGTAATTTCTTGATATTATTAAAATATGTATGATTTTTTTCCCCTAAAGGCCACTTGTATTTTTTATTTTCTGTGCGACAGGGAGAGCAGTAGAGATCCTCTCACAAACGGACGGGCTAAAAGAAACTTCAAGCAGAGAACCTTCAACCATTCATCCAGATGCACCCCATGGTAGTGGCAGTGCCCCTTCTGGTAAGTGTACCAGGTGGGGGATTACAGCCAGGCTGCTTGGTCCTCACCCTGGGAGTGTATATTGCTAATATATTTTTATTTCTCTCCCTTAGAACGTGTAAGAAAGCCATGGTCTGCATCTGAGGTGAAGGCTGTGGAGAAGACCATGACACCTTTCATACAGACTGGAAAGGTCCCTGGGAAGTCTCACTGCCTGGCCTGCATTAATGGCCTCACCAGATGACCTTAGACATCGGACATGGAGTGGCATTAAATTCTATGTCAAAAATAGAATCACTGCAATTCGAAAACAAAATCTAAAATAAAATTCCTTTAAAATAGTTGTTTGGTTTCTATTGACTGTTTTGTATTACTTAAAGTCTTGGTAAAAAAAAGATTATGTCTATGGGTCCCATTCTGAACGGCCCTGTCAAAGGGACCCACCAGGTAACAAAAACGTGTGTGTGTGTGTGTGTGTGTGTGTGTGTGTGTGTGTGTGTGTGTGTGTGTGTGTGTGTGTGTGTGTGTGTGTGTGTGTGTGTGTGGTGTGTGTGTGTGTGTGTGTGTGTGTGTGTGGTGCACTGAATCTTGTGCTAATGTGCACTTCGCCTCCTCTGACACCATATCTATCATATGTACTATTGATTTCTGCTTCTTTCAGCCATGGCTTGTGTTACAAGAAAATTCCCTGAACATAATAAAAGCGAAGTGGTCAAGGAAGAGGCTGATGGTATGTGAATGAAAGCGCTGCATCTCGGCATGTACAAGCAGCAGTACATTATATACTTGAGACTGATATTGTCAACACTGCAGTGAAACTGTCAAGAGGGAAAGAAAACTACTGGTGTGGAAAGTGTACTCTGAATAATAATCATGATAAAATACACTATTTACACAAGGCTTCATCCACACTGTTCTGGTGATTTACCAGGAAACATTTTAATATTTGTTTTAGTCAAATACAATACCCATTTTGAGTGGCGCAGTTACGCAGTGGTTGGCGCTTATCCTTCACAGAAAACAGGTCCTGGGTTCAATTTCACCTCAAGGCCTTTCTGTGTGGAGTTTGCATGTTCTCCCTGTGTGTGCGTAGGTCTCCTCCAGGTGGAGGTTTCTCCTTCCACTAATTGCATAACACCCTCCAACCCCAGACCTCCCCCTCTCACTGGTGCCAGTGCATTATAGTTTATTAACTGTGATTTTGGTGTTATGTTGTTCATTTCAAAAACTTGTTGCATACACATAATTGAGACATTTGAGAAAGTATAAATACATTCATCTATGAGTTTATGTAAAATGTCTCCACTGGTTAAACAGCTTTATAGATGAAAACTATCTAACTATATACAGTGCCTTGCGAAAGTATTCGGCCCCCTTGAACCTTTCAACATTTCGCCACATTTCAGGCTTCAAACATAAAGATATAAAAAAAATTTTTTTTGTCAAGAATCAACAACAAGTGGGACACAATCGTGAAGTGGAACGAAATGTATTGGATAATTTAAACTTTTTTAACAAATAAAAAACTGAAAAGTGGGGCGTGCAATATTATTCGGCCCCCTTGCGCCACCTTTTGCTGCAATTACAGCTGCAAGTCGCTTGGGGTATGTCTCTATCAGTTTTGCACATCGAGAAACTGGAATTCTTTCCCATTCTTCCTTGCAAAACAGCTCGAGCTCAGTGAGGTTGGATGGAGAGCGTTTGTGAACAGCAGTCTTCAGCTCTTTCCACAGATTCTCGATTGGATTCAGGTCTGGACTTTGACTTGGCCATTCCAACACCTGGATACGTCTATTTGTGAACCATTCCATTGTAGATTTGGCTTTATGTTTTGGATCATTGTCCTGTTGGAAGATAAATCTCCGTCCCAGTCTCAGGTCTTTTGCAGACTCGAACAGGTTTTCTTCCAGAATGGTCCTATATTTGGCTCCATCCATCTTCCCATCAATTTTAGCCATCTTCCCTGTCCCTGCTGAAGAAAAGCAGGCTCAAACCATGATGCTGCCACCACCATGTTTGACAGTGGGGATGGTGTGTTCAGGGTGATGAGCTGTGTTGCTTTTACGCCAAACATATCGTTTTGCATTGTGGCCAAAAAGTTCGATTTTGGTTTCATCTGACCAGAGCACCTTCTTCCACATGTTTGGTGTGTCTCCCAGGTGGCTTGTGGCAAACTTTAAACGAGACTTTTTATGGATATCTTCTTCTTGCCACTCTTTCATAAAGGCCAGATTTGTGCAGTGCACGACTGATTGTTGTCCTATGGACAGACTCTCCCACCTCAGCTGTAGGTATCTGCAGTTCATCCAGAGTGATCATGGGCCTCTTGGCTGCATCTCTGATCAGTCTTCTCCTTGTATGAGATGAAAGTTTGGAGGGACGGCCGGGTCTTGGTAGATTTGCAGTGGTCTGATACTCCTTCCATTTCAATATAGTTGCTTGCACAGTGCTCCTTGAGATGTTTAAAGCTTGGGAAATCTTTTTGTATCCAAATCCAGCTTTAAACTTCTCCACAACAGTATCTCGGACCTGCCTGGTGTGTTCCTTTATCTTCATGGTTCTCTCTGCGCTTTAAACAGAAGCCTGAGACTATCAAAGAGCAGGTGCATTTATACGGAGACTTGATTACACACAGGTGCATTCTATTTATCATCATCAGTCATTTAGGACAACATTGGATCATTCAAAGATCCTCACTGAACTTCTGGAGTGAGTTTGCTGCACTGAAAGTAAAGGGGCCGAATAATATTGCACGCCCCACTTTTCCGTTTATTTGTTAAAAAAGTTTAAATTATCAGATACATTTTGTTCCACTTCACGATTGTGTCCCACTTGTTGTTGATTCATGACAAATAAGAATTTAATATCTTTGTTTGAAGCCTGAAATGTGGCGAAAGGTTCAAGGGGGCCGAATACTTTCGCAAGGCACTGTAACTTTGTTGTTACAGCGGTCATTGTTCCCACGCTAATATTTTAAAAAAGGAATACATTCAAAATATATGAATTCTTTCTCTCTATCCAGAGGAGGAAATGATGGACACAGTGCAGTCCATCAGCTCTGCGTATCCCACAGAGCTGACCGAACTCGGGAAGTGCCTTGTCAAACACGAGGTCAGTCTAACTCTCATAAACAAAATCTATTTATTAGTAGTGTATTTTATGAATGTGTTTGATGTTTTGCTTTAAGGAAACGTATACAGGCATGTTGATTCTTGCCTTTACCGCCATCTCATGGAAGGACACCACCATCTGCAACAGAACCGCTTCCATCATCTGCTGGACACTGCTGCGGCCGGTAAGGCAGACACGAGGATCAATGATTCATATGATGCATTCTTTATGATCAGTTTGGCCCTGAAACATGATCTTTACAATATTTACTTACCGCTATTATTTCTCATCATACACTACCAACATGGTTTATGAATTATTTTTATAGAAATGTATTCACATTTATGGACAGCAGTCATCCAGCTCCATATGGACCATTATCATTGCCTTTGATTCTCTGATCTGTTTTTGGTGAATTGAAAATTCCTCTGAGGCTGAATTGAATGGATGAAGAATGGTTTATGTCACGTCACATTCTGAATATCACTTTCTAGTTTTTAGTTGTAAAGAATGTAATTTGACGGGATTTGTTCCCAAACAGAGGCGATACTCTTGTTTTAAAAGACAATCAATGCCAGTTTTTCATATTCTCGTGAATGGAGCTAAAAATGAAGGAACATTGTTGGGTAAAAGTATATGTATTAATTACACACATTAATATGTGTTCCTTTTAAAGTGAGGGTCATTTCCGCAGCCTAACTGATGTTTGGTTTCCACAGGTCACGACCGGTAACCTTCTCCCTGAGGCCGTCACGTTCTTCTTCAACAGTGTTCTGTCAGCGCTGCAGATCCACGGGCAGCATGAAGTCTGCAATAACGCCCTCACTCAGCTCGCCCTGTTCATCTACGAGAGCCTGGTGCGTCAGAGGAGTTTGTTTTACTCTGTCTTCAAACACTGTGGCTCTTTCAATCAGGAAGCACAACAATTTATTCAGTTTTGTTTTGTACAGGGTTCCTACAAGGTCTTAACCCTCTAGGCGCCACGGTACTGTTTAAGACGGCCGAGTGTGTCCAACTGAGTGTCAAAATTCATTCATACTCCCTGCCACTAGTTGGCAGACATGTCAGACTACCTCCCTGGCCCCAAAAAACTTCATGCTCTCATAGAAAATATTCGAGCAAGACCGCGTTGAACCAGTGCGGAAATCATAGTGAAGCGAACGCAGCTGCGAGGCAGCCTGCGAGTGTTATACCGCACCAAACACAAACTTTAGACACTTTGCACAGGGTCTGCAGTGAGAACAGTGTTTCTTAGAGTAAGGCCAAGTCATTGGGAGGTTCGGAGACAGGTTAGATTTGCGAAAAACAAGCCTGGAACTCGCGTCGGGGCACCGCGCCGCGACCTCCCGCCTCCGCTGAAGTTTCCCCCAAAGTCTCCGCTAAAAGTGCTTCTCACATATTTATTTTCAAGCCTCCCGTAATCACCGGGACAGTAACGTGTTGGAGAAGCCTTGTCTTGTGTGTGTTAGACGAGAGAGAGATCAAGGGAGATGAGAGAGAGAGTGGGGGAGACATCTGCAGCAGCAGGGTCGCTGTGACGCGCTTCACCTGGAGGCGCGCCTCTGGGCAGACTACTCACACAGCAGCATGATTTGTATTTTTTACTATTTTCATGAACATTTACAATGTTACAGTGTGTTCTGTGTATGTTCATGTATTAGTGATCAATATATGTCTGTCAGTTAGAAAAATACAAATATTGTATGAAAATTCTAAAATCCACTATTTCTAACGCCATATGACGTCTTAATATGCAAATTAGAAGGGGGGATTTATTCGCTACATAAACTTTATAATAATAATATTTTTCTAATTTACAGAAAGCCTTTATCTCTTATCACTTTTAGGTTATAGCCTTTTGAAATTAAGATGTCAAAATTGAGCGTTTTGGAAAAAAAACTCTGGCGCTTAAAGGGTTAAACAAGCTTTAAAAGGATAGAATTTGGAAATAATATCTGAAAAGACCAGATCTGGTTCTCAACATTTGTGCAATATGTAACTTCTGTGTATTGCATTCTCCTTAAAAGTTTAATTTGTCAACTCCAATTATATTTGATTTAACCCTTTCTTTAACTATTTGGTAGATCACCTTTTAAGTCAATATACTTACTTTAAGCTTGGAACTGAAATATACCATCTCACTGGTTTTGGGCACTTTTACTATCAAACTTTATCTCAACCATTTGGTAAAGGCCTGTAATTGAAAAAAAAAAAAAAGAGTTAAATAATAAAGATAAAACACACATTTATTTGTGTTATTAGTGTTCCTACATCTTTAAATTATCCAAAAAAGAAAAAATGAAATTGCCGTCTTCAAGGTGTAATTGTTAAAGGGTCAAAAAAACAAAGTCTAAATATAGAGTGGCAGAAGTGGCGACTTTAGGTCTGAACGTGACACTTCAGCAAAGACACAGCGAAAAGTAGTTTTCAAGCAAATTAACCAAAAATCTTGTTTGCCATTCGATTTTTTTTTTTTTAAATGGTCTGTAAATACTTGAAGAAACGTGTTGGACCCTAAAGCTGCCACAAAGCGGTCACAGTCAGGAGGGTAGTGGGAGTCCAGCAAACACCTGCTACTGCTCTTACATATGTGTGAATATTGGGTGTGATGTTGTGCTACACTCCTCTTACTCGTGTCATGTCCTTGTGAACGCAGCGCCCTCGCTACCCCGAGCTGCGGGCCGTCATGTCCGAGGTGCCAGGAATCAACTTGGAAGCTCTGTATCAGTTCGACCAGAAACTCATGGACCCCAAAGCCACAAAATTGGGAGAGAAGAAGAGGAAGGACCAGTTCAGGAAGTTCTTAGCCGGAACCATTGGGGTAACTCCATTCATTCATCGTTTCTAACAGAGCACTAGGGCCGTTATACATTTATGTTGCGATGACGGTGTTTCTGAATGGAAAGAAAAGTTCACACAGATGAAGATATTATTTTTATGGCTTCTAATAGAGATGCACGGCTCCAACTTTACATGTCTGATACCAGTCTTCATATTTTCAAAGCAAATCAAATCAATTTACTTTTGTATAGCCCAAAATCACAGCTGCAGTCTTCGCAAAGGGCGTCACAGAATTGTTGATTTGCCAAAAGCGTATGAGAAAATCAAACATTAAAAACACAAATGCAACAATAACACAGTCCATAGGATAAAGGGTTAACTATAAATGTTCATCACAAAGAAGGTGAGAACCAAAGTGAGCGAGGGATCCACTCCGAGAGCCAGACTTCTGTAGATCCAGGGTCTTCAAGCCAGACTTTTTGTTTTGTCATTCTACAAGTAATTTGGTAAAGTTAATGGGAGTTAACTTAAGAAAAAAACGTAACTTTCTTCAAACTGTTCTTCTCCTTTTTCTGGTGGCCGTGATAACAACGTCAAATCCCAGCTGTAGAGGGCAGTGTGTCTCCTTCAACACCACTCCCACAGTCCTTGTCAGGGTTCAGCCGTAGCCAGTACCGGACTCGTTTGTGGTCTTGCTAAACACGGTTTTTTTGTGTTTTATTTTTATCAACAGACGGCTCTATGTCAACAATTCAAGAAAGAAGTCCACATAAAGAATCTTCCCACTCTGTTTAAGAAGCCAAAGGAGGTGAAGGACATGGTGCTGCAGAGCGAGCCGCTGGGTCTAGAGGCTTTGTTTGCCCCCACGCCTGCAGCGCTGTGAACGCACGCCCAGGATCTGAACACTCGCACAGACCCAAACAGACTCTAAAGCTGCAAGAATTTACATCTTTCATCTTTTTAAATGGTTTGTATCGTTTGCCTTCGCATCAACATTTACAGGATTCCGTTCTGTTACGTTGTGTTTTTGTTTTGTTCTACTTTTCATTAATGTTTTGCAAAAAAAAAACATTCCCGATATTAAGAATGTAACTGCAACCGACTCGAGTAAATTACATGAAGTAATTGCTTCTTTGGTCATTTACAGCTAATTTTACCACAGGAAAAAGAGTATTTCAGGTGCGTGGAAGCGTGGCTGAAATATAAAAATAATAACAGCCCAATTGATTAATTAAGTGTGTTTTTATTTGAGTTGCCTTTTTTTATTTTCACATGGTTTGCTTTATTAAGTAGGTCCATGAAATATTTTGTAGGAATCTGTTTATCAAAAGCCTGGTTTGTGTAAAGCGTCGCAAAGTAAGATATCAAAGCTGCAATAGACCAAAGTGTGACCAGCACACATTGTTACATTCTGCTAATTCATGGTCTTGTTTTGTGCTTTATGACCGTAGATCTGTGGCTCCTAAAAACAGTTAAAACGAGTCTATAGCCAAGTAAGGACGAGCAGGGCGGGAAATGATGCAAAACTGTTGATAACTCTTACAAACAAAAACATAAAATAATAATATTCACTGAGAGAGCGCTACGTTCCCTTAGTATGAATAGTTTTGCTGTTTGAACATTTTTCCTGCTTACGGTTGTGTGGAGTCAAACACTACAAACAGGGTAATTATAATGTCATTGGTGGAATAATTTCAATGTCCTCGCAGTCATAATTGTCCAAAAGTGTGTCATAGATTTCTTTTGTTATGGATGTTTGTCACATAAACCTGTCTGTATAAACATTCTTTGACTAATTTTGGACATAAAACAGTTTCTATTTCGTTTTTAAATAAATGTTTCAGAACAATGTGTTGTCTCCTTTACTTCCCTCTGTACAACTCTGTATTTTTTTTTTCTGAATCTTTTTTATTGTGGCGAGTTCAAAGATATGGGTGGATTGAAGCAGGGATGTAGATTGTAAGGCGTGCGTACCTGTTGTAAATAGCGGTTCCTGTCGGCTTCTTGGATCCAAAGTTGCCATTGTTAATGTAAAATATATGTATTATAATTACTTGTTAGAATAAAAATTGTGTATTACAAAATTACTCTATATAAAATGTAAGCTATATAATATAATTGATTCTCCACTGATGCTGTCCCACTGTGTGTGGCAAGGAAAGTTTATTTGTATAGCACAATTTATACACAAGGCAACTCAAAGTGCTGAACATGTGTCATGTGACATTGGTTTAAGAGTAATTCACTTTTTCTGCTTTAACTTGTGCATAATTGTTTTTTGGCCAAATGTATTAATAATGGTGTAAGAACAAGGAAAATATAGCATAATATATTTCCTTTGATTGTAACTAGTAATACAGAATATATCACATTTCTTCTCATTAGTACCAACCTTTGTTATGAGTTGCATGACTGAATTACATACTAGAAATAACTCCGTACTGCGCACCTCTCATGCCGCTGAAGCTCTGCAGGTTGGTTTAGGATATTTCCTCTTACGCCAGTAGGGGGTGCTCAACCTGGCCACGAGACCACACATCCTCAAGTTAGGGTCACTTTTGTTTCATAAGTACATGGTTTTATTGTCCTAGTAGAAAACATATTTTAAAGATAATTGGTTGTGAACAAAATGTAATCTTGTTTCAAACTAATCTCTGTGTCACTATTTGAAGTGACTGGTTGAGTTAGGTTTATAGTCCTCTTTTCACTTTTCGGTCTAAAAAACTGATCTGAATATTTACCAAAAATACATGCATGTGAAGAACAAGGGTTACAACGGAAGTGTTTTAAGAGCGAGGTATTATGAAATGGATTTTATTACTGCTAAATGCATTTTTTTTGTGGCTTACAAGTTAGGTACCCCCACATAACTTCCCCTCCGAATAGCACAAGTAAGCCTCTTTCTGATGATGGCGGTGGAGTTTTTAAATATCTTCATTTGATATTGTAGGATCCTTTGATGCTGAGATTTGCGTCTTATGTAAAAAAAAAACAAAAAAAACAATTAGGCCTTGATTCAATGTAACTTGTTAAGCCCCTCAAAGTCATCAGGCCATGGTAGTGAAATGTTTGGAGAGAGACACTTTGATCAGCTCCACCAAGGCAAGAAACAATAAATCCCCTTTCAAACACGACAATAAACCGTGAAAAAATAAATAATGTCATAAACACCATGTTCCTCGGTTCCTCTAAAACGTTTTGGTTCCATCACAATTCTTCACCTCATAGATCCATGGTCTTCACTCACACACCAGAATACACAGTACTTTATACTTGCCTCTTATTGCCAAATGAAGAACTTATACACCTCTTTTTAGTATTATTTTCAAGATTGAGTTTTTATACTTGTTATGCTAGAGTCAAAGATGTATTTTATCTTAATTAGTATAGCTATTGTTCACTTAACATGCGCTGTGTGCTCCTCTTTCCTACTGTTCTATAACTTGTGATGCAACACTGAAATTTCCCCACTGTGGGATGATACAAAGATTTCTTTATCTTTATCTCATGTTTGATGAGTTTTCTAAAAAGATGGTTGGTTAGTTTTAGCAGTGAAGTTTAAAGAGAAAAAAGTATGTATAATATTTTTGATCGGCCCGGGTCACGTGGGGTGGGGTGATTGACAGCTGCTGTGGACGAGCTCGCGCGCAGGTGTGAAGGCCTGGACTGAGGCTGCGCGGTCCTCTCAATATTAGCACGTGCTGGTGTTGTGAAGATGAAGATGCTGCTGCTGTTTTCCGTGTGTCTGTGGGTCAGCTCCATGGTCAGCTCTGCGGAGGCCTACGGGCAGATCATGACCGGACACCCCCGCGACGTGTCCGTACACAACAGTAAAGTCATGAGGGCGGCTCAGTTTGCCGTTAAAGACTTGAACCAGGCCAACTCTCAGCAACCTTTCTCTTACCAAATCACCAACGTGACCTCGGCCAAGGTTCAGGTGAGTACCATGGACTGTGAGTGTTCCTGCTGACATTGGAAACACGCTAACCTTACAACAGAAAGTGTAGTTGCAACAATGTAAATTTGAGAAACATATTTGACATTTAATGATAATATGAATGACTCCATTGTTTGCAGGTGGTCGCTGGGATAAACTACATAATGGAGATGCAACTCAGACCCGTGTGCAAGTCGAGGTCTCCAAGAAAGTGCCACAAGAGAGCCCAACTCAAGGTATGACCAGAGAAGAGACTTGAAAGCAGCTCTGCTTGTGTACAGCTCTCTCCATGGCCTCAAGTACATCCGAGACATGGGAGAACAGGGATTGGCCTCCTGCTGGAGTCAGGACATAGTCTTGGTCAGGACTAAACAGGAGGCACCCTTTCAGATGTATGCAGCCAATATCTGTTACCCTCATTTGGGACTATTGATTAATATACAAATATATTTGTTTAACATTTTTAAAACCATAAAATCTATCTAGTTCCTTACACATCTTTTAGAGCAACTTTGAAGAGTAAAAAGTTAGGACCACCCCAAACCTCTCAGCCCGAAGCGTCAAATAGTGACTCACAACTCTCACAGTTGCAAAATATTATACATATTGATAATTGTATGAAGATGGCATGTTGTGCGGCACGGTGGCTGAGTGGATAGCACTCTCGCCTCTCAGCAAGAAGGTCCTGGGTTCGAATCCCGGTCGGACCAGGGCCTTTCTGAGTGGAGTTTGCATGTTCTCCCCGTGTCTGCGTAGGTTTCCTCCGGGTACTCCGGTTTCCCCTACCGCTAAAAATATGTCCAATAGGCATGTCTGGCATGCGCCTCCTGTACTGGCGATCCCGCTCCCATCTCTGTGTGGAGTGAGAGATAAATGCCCATAATTAACAATTGTAAACCGCTTTGAGACTCAGATCTGCAGTGAAAAGGCGGTATATAAATAATGATTACTTACTTACTTACTACTTGTGGTCCAATGTTTGTATGACTCGTGTGAGTATAACAACATGAGTTATTTATTAAATTAAAAAATTCCCCTCCCTCACCAAATTTTCTTTAGACTGTGCCGTCATCAGTGTAAATGTTTTATGTATATGGAAGATGGGTGTCGCTCCATCAGAAACCTGAATTGGAAAGTCTTAACAAGTCATACACACTTAACACCCTATGAGCCAGCTCACTTCACTGTCTCCATGCTGCTCACTCATTTTCATCTTCTTGCAGGAACTTCGCTGCAGCTTCGTCGTCACAGAAATCCCATGGGAGCACAAACGTTTTGTTTATCGCAGAAGCTGCAAGCACAAGCCACAAAAACATTTCTAATAAAACTGTTGCTGGTATGTATGTAACCGTCATTTTTGCCTTGTTGTGTGATCTTTTCATTTGTGTATTCATATCCTTGTCCCTAATTGTTTTAACATTTCACTAATATGTTCAGTGACCTGCGCTCATATTGTATTGTACCATAACTCTATACTTCAATCTGTCTGAATGCCTTGCAGCTGCAGACACATGCCCCTACATTCTATCACTGCATGAGCTTATTTAAAGTATTGAAGTATCCTCTAAATATAATTATCACATCAAGCCCAAGATTGTAGCTGGCATGCACCTTCCTTTCTCCACCACACTGCGGCCTCCAGAAGGGCCGCGTCTGGGATTACAGCCTTTTCAGATTACTGCTCAGCAAGGCCCAACTGTCTGTCCCTCTGACCCCCTTTTTATGCACAGAATGCAGCCTGGCATACCCCTACTGTATAAACGACCTATATTTGAATCAACCTTGAAAAGGCCCTGGAATATTTTTAATTTTCTATTGAAGAAAATGTCTGGAAATATGAGATTATACTTGTCTTCATCTGATTGCATTCAGAAGCAGGGATTATAATTTATTGAATTCACCTCCTACTGTAATTGAGTATCATGATACATCTGTGTAATTTAGTCCTTTTAAATTAGTAACTTTCAAAATTGATATGAGTTCGCTTCAGTCTGGTCAGTCCACTCACCAATGTAAGACAAATGGGTAATTTAGTCCTGGACAATAAGATGCTGCTCATCTGACCACTCCCATATAAAGCACCAGTAAAAAAATTTTAGCAATGGACACAATATTGGCCTTACAACTCATTTTTAATTGAGTATATATTCTGTACTCATTCTGTGTTTAAAAGTTACTTAGTTACACTTTGTACACTTAATTGTAATTGCACAGGGTGTGATAAAGGGTCAGTTCAAAGTAGAGGCGGGAAAATGTGTTTACAGTAAACAAGTGTGTTAGTGAGCGGTTGACATGAGACACGCTCATATGCCCCAACTGCACAGGTCTTAATCAGAAACCCTCCGAATTGGCTGGCACTGGGGATTAGTACGCGGGGGTTAGGAATGTGGGGGAAGGGGCGCGCCAAAACGTGGAGGACGATGACTAACATGGAAGCTCTGGTCAGTGCCAAGACGGGACCATGCCCACCCATCTGCCGCCGCTATACCCACCACTCCACACACTTGAGGGGTGCGCTGGGCCTGTGCGCGCGCCACCACACCGGTACATGTAGGCGCGGCCACTCCTCAGCCCTGTCCTCACTTAGCCTGGGCAGCAGATGGTGAGGGGGTGAAGGCTCCTGGTGCCCCCTCCTCTATTCTGCACTCTGCTCCACGCCACCAGCCCTCTCCTGTACCCAGCTCGCCCCCCGCCCCCCTCTTTGTGTTGTGGGTGTTGAAAGGAGAGCCCTGGCCTCCACAACTCCTCCTACAAATCCCTGGCCCGCTGCCATTGGCGGGACTCAGTCAGGTGTCCTAATGCTTCAGTTAGGGGAGGAAACGCTGCTTAATCTGCCCATCGCGTGCCACCGGCCATGGCCTGGCCTCTTTTGTGTCTGGCACCCCTCTGATCATCCTCCACTCTTCACCCCCCCCCCATGCCTATGCAACCCAATTTCTGTGCCCCAAGACACTGGTGTCATCTTTTGGACTGGACTCGTCTATTACCTGGACTTTGCCTCAGTTCCACTTGTCATGTTTTATTATCAATAAATTGTTCAATTGTTGTAATGACGCTCAGCCTCACTTACAGCTGTGTTCTGTGGACACTGGACAGGGTTCTGAGCTGCTCAGTGCTGACTCATCATTGGCAGTGCATCTGACTGATCGGAGGTGCTTGCGTTTCATTTAAACGTGATGCTTCTAAATCTGATATTTGGCTAAATTAAAATAGCCTGATTTTGTAATATGAATATCGACTAAAGCTAAGATATACTGGATAAAGTCATTAAACTTTTCACTGAACTGGTTAGACCTATATCACAGACATCAATATACATAGTGTGTTTATTCTATTTACAGTATGGCCTTTGTATTTTTAAAATAAGCATGTCTTGTTATGAACAATGGTGTTTAATGTAATGATTATGAATTAAACAGTCGTGTTCTTCCAGCCATGTTAACTAATTGTTAAATGTCAATATAATCTTGATCCTTCTTGCCTGGATTCTCCAAGCTACTATTTTTACAAGGCAATTTTAATTTCACGTTTGTTTTGATTGAAAGAATACTAATTTGTTGTTGGTAGTTTTGTATCTGTCCCCTTTCTAGAGTGCAGCTCGTGCTCCTCATTAGGATGAGTGATGTTTGATCAGGACGAGACCCCTGACCCTGACCAGGCTCACCTCTAAGGCCAATGGTCACAGTTCAAAGTGTCCTCAGCTGTGCTGCCATGGAAACGCTCTTCTGATGGTCAGTTTGACTCGGCAATGGGTCATGATCACATTGGGCTTTCACTTGTACATTTCACTTCGACCTACAATTGCAACGCATTTTCAAGGGGAATATATTTCTACTAAATAAATATTTATACTGTTTTCCTGTCATTTATTCAACATAAAGTGGGATGGACAGAAACCACATCTTGTCCATACTGGCCTTCGAGTTATTATGTTTATTGCTTAGAGCAGAATGTGCAATTTGCAATTTATGCTGTTCTTCAAAGAACAACCGATCCTAATTTTTACTGAATGCAGTGCACATAAATCTGTCAGGCTAGAATTAAAGTGGTGGTCAGTTTTTCCACTTCCTGTTTGTGATGGGTTTCCTTACAATCAACGCTGTGATGGGGGTGGGACAAAGAGCCAAGAAAATCAATATTTGGAGTGTAACATGTGGCCAGTGGAATATGAGGAGGATTTGTGTTGAGATGAGGGCCTTTACAATGATTGGAATCTTGTCCTGGACTGGGCATGTTCAGATCACTGTATTTCTCCTCTTGTTTACACTCTTCTCTTACTCAGATCTCCAGCAGTCCAAGTTGTGCCTGTCCCGCCGCATGTGAGCTCCATATTGTCGGACAACAGCCCGGTGGGAGTTGAACGGGCAGATGACCACCAGCCCAAGCAGCATATGTGCTGCTGTAAGAGGACCAGGGCACAGGGCTGTGGAGTGAAACACCGGACAGCCATAGTTCATGGGAGGCACGACGCGTCCACAGCCATTGGAGGAAAGCAGCAGAGACTGGACAAGTGTGGAGGCGGGAAAGGCAGCATCGAGCAGGACAGAACAGCGTAAAAGTGCTCTATGTGTGTGTGGATGTGTGCGTCTGTGCGTGTGTGTGCTTTATTGCAGTGGCCCCCCCTACCCTCCATCCCGTGGAGGAGCAGAGTCCCGCGGAGGAGGGGTGGGATCCCCTCCCTCTGACACACACCCACTCTAGATGAAGCTCATACACGCGCTGCTCTGAGGCAGCAGTCTGAGGAGCGCTGGATGGACGTGTCCCACCCTTCCCCAGCGTAGGGATGCTTCAGCAGGTACATCTCCTCTCTGCTCTGTCCTCTCCTGTCTGTGTCCATGTCTTTACCCCTGTCTCTGCTTTCTTAACTGTGAGGACAGGGCTTGTGTGTCCTCTGGGGCTCCCTGTAACCCAGTCGCCTTTCTGCTGCTAATGTGTGTTAGTGGGCTGCATGTGCGTGCGCCTGAGCGAGCTGTCTGCTTGTAAACAAGCTTAACTCGTCTGTGCTTTAGAACTTGAGCTGAGGGCTCTGTAGCAGGTACATGTGCATTTCAGAATTCTGTGTTTGGTTCTAAACTATTTCATAGGGTCCCAGGCTGCTTGTTGCTGTACTATTCGTATTCACCCGTATGTCTTTCAATTTTGTAGCTCAAGCCTTATGGGAGACATGAGTAAAGCGCATTATCTACTCATTGAAGCCATTCTACATCTTTGGAGCAGTGCTGTGAGCTTCTTTAGTAATGTAGCCCGGACTGGTAGCCTGGTGTTGAATGGTGTTCAGTTACAGTTTTGGGCTGTTCTTCTACTGTGGATGTGTTCTTTTCCATCTTTATAAGTTGTATAGAATATGTTAATGAAGCTGCTCTGAGCTTTGCATGTAACATGCTGTAGTGGCAAACACCCACACCTACCGGAGCACGAGGGCCGCATGTGCCACCTCCTCTACAGTGGCTCTGTTCAACTGCATTTAAAGCTTTTGAAGTGTAGGCCACACATTCTCATTCCCCAAAATCATATCAACATTGCATTCAAATTGAGTACTTTCAATTTTTTTTATAAAAAAAAATTATTTGAAAAAGAATAGAATCTAATAGATTTTTTAAAAAACTTATATTACATTATGAATCTAAATGTTCGAAGTTGACGATAATATTAAGAAGCAGTTGTTTAACAGCAGCCTTGACCTGTCCCTCCACCATGTGCCCTGTCCTTGTGGGCCCATGCTGCAGGGGGAAAGCAGCAAAGTCCCCTCTCCTGTGTGTTTGGGGCCAGTATTGACCTGTTAATAATATTATCCACAGAGCGTGTGGCAGGGCCAGGGTCACATCCCTTCAGGGTTTGGATGGTCAGCCCTTTAGCCACAGTTTGGACCAAGAGTAGCCCATAGGATGGAGCTGTGGTCATCCCTCACTCTCCTCCTTTCATAGAGCAGGTCACATGAGTCAAAGGGTAATAAGTTTAACCTCTGGAGGGCTGCAGAGTCACAGGTCACACACAAGGCTATTGGAGAAGGTTTGCATCATCAATCAGTGGCACTGCTGCTTATTGCTCTGCATATCGATGACACGCGTTCTGCCAATCTCATTAGCATACCATGCTAAGCACAAAGAGCGGCCATTACAATCATATGGAAGTGAGTCAAAGTAATGAGAAATACCCTAAATGAAGTGGTTGCCATTTCATGCGTGGCTCAGTCTGTTTGTCACTGTTGTCTCTAACCTCTTCAGTCTTTGGGCACCACGTGTAGCGACTGCGCCCTTAACCTGAAATGATTTTTTTTTTTTCGCTCTGAAATGGCGGTGGCTTTGCACACCAAAGATTATTTTCTATTCTAACTTTTCAGTATGCGTCTTGTCTTTTACCATTCAAGAACACATCTTAAAACCACATTTTTTGGAAAAGGTATTTCTGAAAGGAGCGGGACGCACATGAGCCTCAGAGGCGTTCACTCGAGGTGTGGCATATTCATTCATACTCCCATTGATGGTTTTTCAAACTAAATAATATGTACATGTGGAGTGGCCTTTCCTCGCTTTACACCATGTAAAGTGCATAGCTGTTTGAAAAAGTGCAGTGGTGCTGTGGCGATGCTCGAGCATCTCCCTCAGGTCTCCTCTCCCTGGGCCTGGCTGATGTTAGCGATGTGTCAGCAGTATGCAGTCTGTCTGCTGGGCTGCTGGGGCCAGCCTGGCCATGTGCCAGTCCTCACATGTCTAGCTCTAGCCTCAGAGACGTGACAGGATCAGGAATGTCCACTGGATGCTATAGTCTATTCTTTATGTTGATCCATGTCGTAGAAACAACTGTAAAGCTCTTTGTCTGTTTTCTGTTCAACAGGGATCCATGTTGGTGGAAAGGTGTGAGGGGAGATCCTTGGCTGGAACATGGTACGCTGCACCCTTACATACAACCACATGCACACATCAGAAGAACCCTTGGATTGGTGCATTCCATTAAGTGTTTGAATAACGCACATGTACATGTTGCTCTGTCAGCTCCTGCTCAGACAGAGGCCATCAATCACAAATGCACCAAAGCCGCATTGCTCTTTTCTGGTTTCTCCCGTTCTTTTTCTGGGCTGGAATTACACAGCATTTTACCTGCAACACTGCATTTTCTGCGCTATGTTCACAACCCAATTCACATCCGCGAGGTGTTTATGGCTGCGTCTTAAATCAAGCTGCGTGCTTTATTACTCGGCTTCAGTGGACGGTCCACACAGATTTCCAGTTATGTACCGAGTGGAATTGTTGCTCTGTTGTGGATTGTTCTTGGGGTAAACAGCAGTGCAGACAAATGGCATGCTGGAGGGTCCCGTCACTGATCTGCTGTCTGCGTTTATTTGCGTCACATGTACTGTATTACGACCACTCGGCACTGCACCCATGCACACCACTGCTCAGAGCATATTCAATTGGCATTTTGATGAGCTATTTTCAATTTGCTTTACAACTTTGAAGTCATGTCTGTTGTCCCAAGCAGGAATAGAGGAGAGCAGACCTTTCGGATAAGGGAAGAGAGGGCATGTGAGCATCCGCAGGTGCACCCTAATAGAAGCTGAGGATCAATGCTTTTGGTCAAGGTCCTGTTCAGACTGGGTTTGATCAGCTGACGGCTTCTCTTCAAATTCTCACCGTTATCAGTGGAACAGCAGCAAACAACTGGGAGTCACAGAGAGCAAAGTGCATAGTACTTTGCAGGCCAGCATAATTCAGCCCGGCATCTTGTGAGTGGCGATGCACAATTGGCTCGTCAACAAATGCTCTTTACAAAAGGTCATACGCCGCTGCAGTCAATGTTGCGATATGGCCAATAAAGCAACCAATGACTGTCCTGGTCAGATGCACAATAATTGTCTGGGTTTATCACCAGCATAGATCCGTTTTGTCACTGAGGAGCGGGAGAACCGTCTTTTAATGCATGCACCGCTGTAAAGCAAAGAAATATACGAGGGTTTATTCATTCAAAATATTGTATATACTCAATTTGTCTTGTAGTCGCTGATTATACAGTTTGTTAGTTTGTTGTAACCAGACTTTGAAAATAGCAGAGCGCTGTTTAAGCCACAGCTCAAGACTTAAATTCACATTTAAACGTTGAAAAAGGCTTGAGAGACTGAAACAGTGAAGCGTTTTATTATGTCTGAGATGTGGCCATAACCACAATGTTTTTAATCTTATCCCAACAGTCGACAATAACATTAATATTTGAATTTGCCAGTAGCTTTATTTTAAATTCCAATCTGCTATACAGTATACACAAAGTGCATATATTTGGTATCTAATTATTTCAGAACCATTAGCCCTTACTATATTCTGCATAGATATATTATTTAAATAGATTTCTATTAAAATCCAATTTAATCAAAACCTCAAACTTAAACATGAACTCTTGTACAATAGGTACAAGAGTATTGTACCTATGTTTTGAGCAGTCATTAGCCGCCCTGTAAATATAGTGCAGACAAGCGCTGTGAGCCGCAGTGCAGGCTCCTGGCAGCTTCTACCTCACAGTGTGGAGATCCACGTGTTTGTGAAGAGACGACTCACGCTTTCACAAAATACAGGTAGCAGTGGAGTGGACTGATGCAGCAGGCTGATATTTGCACTTTTTAGCATATGAAATAACCGGCCATCATACTGTTTATGCCGACTAGCCGTTTAAAAACACAATGATATTCATTTGAACACTTGGGAATATAGACCCGGTAAAAAAAACTACCTGGTAAATAAGGAATGGTATCTCTATTTATCTCTAGGCTTGTGTGGACTCACCACCTCCAGGAGGATCAGTGAGGGGCTGGTGCTATGTGTACTGGGTGCAGCTCTTACTGCCACCCCCCGACCCAGAAATGGATTAGGGGGAAGAAAATGGATGGATGGATCTCTATTTTCCAGGTAATATCATCACTGCTCTTTTCCAGTTTGAAGTAAAACAGGTTAAGTTGTAGTGAAACCATGTTATCATTTGGAGTGAATTATTAGAATCGGACCAAATATTGTCAAAAATGTGGATTATTTAGGTTCTAAACATCTGTATTGGCAGCAGCCTTGAAGAAACATCAGTCAATTCTCATTATAAATAATTCTTAGATGTATTTTGCATCATTTTTTCTCTTTAACAAAGAAAAGACAAAACAAAACATGGAAATCACAATTGATTTTAATACTTTTTTTGTAATAAAATAGATTTGAAAAAGAAAAACACAAATGTAAGCACAGAGGTCCAGGATATAAAGACCATCAAATGAAACCCATAGAATCTGTTTAACTCAAACAAAACTACAATTATCGATATCATTTGAAAACTTATGTCTGAACTCCGCTCCTGCAAACCACATACTGTCACCGACTGCTGTGAACTTGTTGACCAGTCCCCGTTCTAAACGATTGTATGAATTTCACAGCCTTTATGTCGTGTCATTACTTAACGTGTCTTCCTCTGCTCTCTAATCCCTCCTGACACACTCCCTCCCCCTCCCCTCTTCAAGTCCACTGTTAGGGCTCCCTCAACGCGACGGAAAGACACTCGGAATGCCCCTGTCACTTCAGCTCACGCATATCCCAATTGTTTTTAGCCACTGTCCGGCCCGGGCGCACACATCCCTCCGCCGTGACCCCGCGCTCGTACCCAGGCCCCGCGCACATCTGCAGCCCCGCCACGGCATTCTCACGCTGCGCGCTTATCTCATCCTCCGCTGCACCGTCAACAAACACTACAATATGGCCCTCCAGGAGGCCCATCGTGGACCTGCCTCACAATCCCAGCGGCTCTGCCCATTGTATCGCGGGCCTTTGATGAATTTACCTCCGACCGATACATTGCGTCAGTCTTTTTGTCAAGGGGAAGACAATTACTTGTACAGTTGAAGCCTTAACGAAGTGCAGAGGCGTACATGATGGTTACAGGCCACGGGGTCACTCCCAGCACCTAACGCGTGATGACAGCTAACGGAGGCCTGTGAACGCACGATGATATCATTATTGCAGCAGTCAGCAAAGCGTAAGGAAAGGGCCCGGCTTGAAAAGAGAAAGTACAAAATTGGTTTTGATGAGTCACTGTGAGAGACCAACGGAAGAGAACAATGGTGGCGGCTCTGAATGGAGCTGTGTCACGGTCGGGACAGGAGTGTGGAGAGATGGTTGGTCCAAGGAGCTGAGGAGGGTCTGGTGTTTGGTTTTCCTCTTGGGTTTCAAAGTGATGCTCAAGGGTTGTTCAGTTGAAATGGTGTGTTGTGGTATGTACATGGTACTCAGTAGATGGGTTGGTACCATACTTGACCAGACTGATTTGAGGTCGCCCTTGCATGTCTAGAATCAAATGAACAGTATATTTTTAGTTGGCAGTATAATTACATTATATACAGCATCCTGGCTTCCCACAAACATTTCCCTACATATTTTCTTGCCATTGGTTATAGTCCTCCATCTCTTATACAGACTCGGGGCCCCACCATTTCTAAACTCTTGTGCTTTTTACATAAAGTGAAGTGTTATCTGCAAACGGTTTATATGATTACAGTGGTATCTGATTTAGGTTGCCTACTGTTTTAGAAATATGACTTGATAGCCAATTTTGTGTGTATGCGCAGGAGGTGGGAAGGTTCAAGGCTGTTGGCTGCTTAGTGGTGTGCCAGCTTGTTTGGGTGAGGGAAAGGACAAATGTGTTTCTTGATTTGTCTTTAAAAAATGTATTGGGCAACTAATATGTCAGTATTGTTTGTGTTGGTTTATTTGTGTTCGTGTAGGTGTGTGTGTGTGTGTGTATATATGTATATATGTATATATATATATATATATATATATATATATATATACTGTACATACACACAAATGGTAATCCATCATTGTCGTTCTACAGCCTGCCTCTAAACGTCTTGTCCAGAAAGCAAAACATTTTTTATATTCAAAATAAGTAATATAATTCTCATAAAACACTTCTGACAGCCACCAACCTAAGACCAGTGTCCAGTAACAATACCAAATTGTGAGGTGACATCTTTCATTACCCACTGCCTTTGTGGTTAATGCTCAATAATACATTAAGAGTTATGGTTTTGCACCTTGCACCAGCACTGTGGCACGGCTCCCCTGCCCCAGTGTCGGGGGACCGGTTGGGGGGGGCTCCCTCATGATGTTGGGACAGATGGCATTTAGCTCTAGCTGTGCCGGGCTCAGTGGGACCCAAAGCTTAAGAGGCTAGGCCTGTCAAAACCACTCTGTTCATTCACTGCCTAACAAAGTGTGGACTGTCAGCCTGTTCCGTTTAATAAACTTAAGATTTTTTCTTTTGTCAGTGCCCAAGCAACACTTTGCAATTCAGTGGCCTGAATATCCCAACAAGTAGCAAGGCTCAATAGAAAACACTGCACTTCTGGTAAAGGACTTCCCCAAATGTTTCAACTGTAGGTGGAATTGTTTCGTGGCAAAAGACGGTGCTTTTGGGTCAGCAAACTTCACCATTAGGTATTCATGGTAACCAGTAGTCAGGCTTTGTATGTATTCTGCTGTGTGTAATAAAGCAGGTTTGAACTGGACCTCTCTGCCACATGCTACTTTAATGCATTGGTTTGTTGTGGCCTATGTTCAGAATAGTGTGTGTATTCTCCACCACCAGAGGGAGGCACAGTGTTGGATTTATGTATTATACTGATGTGCTCCAAATTATTTGAAAGCAGAAAATGATTCTGACTTACATATACATGTTTCTGTAACGTGTCTGTGGACAAGTGCTAGTTGTTCGTTCGGATTTTCATCTCCCTATAACACCTATCACATTATGCAAACAAACAGCGGCTTTTCTCACTTTCCCCATTTCCCAATTTGTTTCAGGGGTCAAAGGCTGAGGGCTGGCGAGTGGTGACCTCAGCGAAAAGACAGTGTGACATCTGACCCGCGGCTGGATGCGCGGCTGACCCTCGAGGATACGCATCAACAAAGGGAGGCACGTGCCCTGGTCAAGTCGCCATGGTAACCGGAGACCTTTTGGGGTGGGGGGGGGTTGAGGCCTGTCCTTTATCCAGATCTGTGTTAACCATCTGCTGCCCATTGACTTCCTCGACCGGAACACGTACCCACCGCAGACCCGAGTCCGACTGGATAATCTCTGCAGGCAACTGTGATGTGCTCTGTCTGCTCACATTCACCTGGAGAGATTCTGCAGTCTGCTTCATGTAACAGTGTTTCTGCAGACCTCTGTATGTGTGTAACTTCAGAAAACCCTCTGGATTATCTGTTGTGATCATATAAACTGAAAAAATATTACAGAAGCCCATGTGAGCGTTTGAATCTGGAAGTGTCTTCAATACCTTAGTGCAGCCATTCCCAAACTCAGTAACACCGAGGCCCCCTTAAAAATCTGACGGGTCTGCGTGGCCCCCCAATATAATAACCAAGAAGACAACATTAAGAATAGGCTCTTCTGGTTATTTTATTTTGGGGAAATAGCCTCTGCTACAAACATTGTAATACAAAAATGATTACAGTGGATTATTCAAGTCAAATAATGAACACAAATATTTTAATATTACAAACAAAACATTGCTAAATTTAACATTAAATAATTATATTATTTTTTAATTTTTTTTATGACCTCCCGCGGCCCCCCTGCAGGACCCCACTTTGGGAGACACTGCCTTAGTGTATGGCCTTCCATTAGATTATGTAACTAGATCAATAGTTGAGGGGAGAATGTGGAGCCTAAAACCTCCCTTTGTCGCGTACAGACTTGGTCACACTCCACAGGTTTTGGACTAAAGTTGGGCTTTTTAAAAAAGTGCTCCTAGGAACCACCTGCTCCGCTGCTCCTGAATCATTGAAAAGGATTTCACACTGAAATAATGTTCTTTTCACAAAGGGATATCTGTGTGAATCTGTGCCTGGCCTGCCCAGCATAGTTTTACTGTTGCCTTCTCCTGTGTTTTTAAAGGCAGGGGTTATTTAATGAGAGGTCTGAATGAGCCAACAGGTGCAGTCCACCTGGGGAAAACATGCTTCATACTGGAGATTGTGGCTCTTTGAAGTGCTCCCACTGTGCGCACTGTACACAGCACTGCAGGCGAAGCATTAGCTGCATTGATGTACAACCACACTGCGCCCTAATGACTGAATAGGAGGAAAATGTCATTATTTCTGCTCCATGCACTATTTATGATCCTTCAATGTTTCCCTCTTCATTGCTATTGCCCTTGTCCACTCTGAGTTTGTTCCACATTCCTCCCCTCCTCCTCTGCTCTCCTGACGCATCCGCTCATATTCTGCTGTGTTTTGGTGAAATCTCAGCTGGCAACTGTGAGTAGTTCACTAGCTGCTCTCACAATGGCCTCTGGGATTATGCTAAACACCGCCTCGGCCTCTCCCCATCGACCAGCAGCATCAGAGACGCCCTTCGGAGCCCACAGGAAAGAGATGGAGAGCTCTCAATGAAGATGTCAGTGCAATTAGAGCAGGGCGCCTCACACGCCCGGTGTGTCTGCTCTGGCTCCAGCTCCTCCACACTTACTCCACTGTCTTTTCAAGCGCAGCCTCATCTCTTGCAGCTCCTTCATAATGCATGCCCTCTGAATTTGCATGAATTCACTTTCCAGATGCTTCTGCTGCCATCTTGACTTACACTGATGCATAGTGTACAGTAAGGGCTATTGTATTCCTGCCAAATGAAAAGAATGGTAATTGATGTTCTATTATGAGATGGGTCATCACCTACCTCACATTAACTGAATATGGACGTGTAGCTGTTATCTCTTGTGTCGCTGTGGGACCATGAGCTTTCTGATGTGGATGATACTGCATCAGGAACTGATTGGCTGATGCTGAATTGCCAACAGTACCTGATGCATTACCTTCAGCATCGAAAGAAGCATCACAACAGCTTCAAGTCTGGAGACGTCTTTTGTATGCCTTTTAATTTGAATAATAAACAAGGTCTATTTCATTTACCAAAGTTGATGTGTCTGTGTCTTATTGATCATTGTGGTTATTAAATCGCCCAAACCCTACACATAACCCCATAGCAACTTAAATGGAAGTTTTGGTTCAACCTGTAGAAATGTTGAAAGTTAGTGTGAAGTTAGTTAATCCCAATCAATCCTAACTTTAAAAATGGATTACCTAACCTTTTCACAAATACTACATGTTAAAAAAAAACAAAAAACGTTATACTTGTAAAAAAGAGCCTTTAGGGAGTCACTATTGGGTGCTTTGGGCTGAGAGATAATCCACTTTTTAACTTTTGTAAAAAGATGATCTAAAGATGTGATCGAGGCCAAAAAGACATCCATGTGAAATCTAGTGATAGAGTCAAACTTGGACCCAGGATCTATTTACATACAATTTCTATACGTAGTTCCATTTCTTATATGTTGAAAGTTACATACCCCAGCTTGAATCAAAATATAGTACAATACACAATTTGCCCAACTTTTTATTTAAATGAGCAACTTTTTTATTTTATTTCAAAAGGGTCTTGGCAATACGCAACTTAGCCCTGGGCCCCTCTAGTGCTGGCGCCGGCCCTGCATACATACGGTTGCTTTATGCAGTGGATTAGTTACACTTAATTGCCGTTCAGTCGGTGCGGCAGAGGCTATGTCAAATGACTTGTAACCTCGGGAGAGTTAAAAGCTTAGGGTCAGAAGGTCAACTTTACTAGAACAAAAGTGCCATGTTCACCATCCCCTCGTCCCCGCCCCCTTGGCACACACTTGTACCACTGCGCTGGATGCTTCACTTCCGGGAAATCCAGGCTGCCCAGGTCAATCACAGCAGATGTCACCAACTCAGAGGCATGCTGTAAACAGAAATGTATATCTGGGACTTTTTGAATGATTAACATGCTGAGATAAAGCGGGGGTACCTAACTTTTGCCCCAACTGAAAGTCTTGTGATAGTGAATTGTGAGAAAATAAGATCAGCACGCATCATTTGACTACAAAAGAGTCCTGATGTGAGTCACTGTATGCATGCATATTTTTGTGTCTCTATCACATTTTTAGACCAGCTTTTCTGACAGAACCATGAAAAACAGAGGACCACACATACTCAGGTCAAAGCGTCAGATAGTGACTCACATGGCTTTCTTATCGCCAGCATGTTGTGGTCTGATTTGTTCACAGTATTTTACAAGACTTTTTCTATTCATTCAAAGACATCGGATTATTTGTGGGTAAAAGTGAGGTATCCCAGCTTTAATATCATCCCTATTTGATTTATTGTTGCGCGCAAGCAGACAAGACACGTTATACAAACCCTTAATAATGGTTATAATGAAAATGTGATTTCAAATGTTAATATATTTTAAGTCTTGAAGAGCAGATGCGTGACTTATTTGGTCTTCAGTCCATAGAGGGAGCCAGTGTGGAGCGATGTTGCAGAGAGAACAACCTGCCCCGGTACGCCGCCCCCATCATGTCCTATTTTACGCACGGCATGTTCATCCCAAGTGCTGCCTGCCTGCGCTCCTGCAACATCTGATCCACATCCACTCTGCTCAGGCCGACAGCAGCGACACAGAGCGGGCATAAACTCTCAGCACATACCTTCAGGGACAGCCGCAGATCCGCAGGTATTCCAGGTACGTGTCTGAGATCTGACTGGCGTTTTTGTGTCATGCATTGTGATAAAGTGATGCATGTGTTAGAATTCATGTTAAAGAATTCGTGCTGTGAAGAAAGAGACCTACATCATATTCCAACTATGGCATGTAATTTAACAACGCTGGAGCACAGGGGCATGTTTACGCACGACTTTTACGCGTGTTGCGCACTAATCCTTTTGGAGAAAAGCGGCAGAAAAACACTTCACTCAGTTGAAGTCACAGGTTTAGCTGGAGAAAAGCCAACATAAACATCACGCCAGCAGCGGGAGATGTTGGGACTCGTTAAGCAATGCCATCAGTGATGTAATAACGGGTATTAAAACGTGTCAGCTTGTTAGGCCGAAAATGATCTTGGGCTCCACTTCATAATAGTTCTTGTGGCTCTCTGCAGGGGGATCGGAGCTTGGTTCAACATGCTGGGCATCTGCGTTTGCCTCTGCGCGCTCTTCACACACGTCCTGTCCCAGGAGGCGGAGGAGCCCATCTCCTACACTGTAAGTATGATAAATATTCATATATTCATCTGTACAGTGTGCAGGTATCTTTTATCACCTGTTTGTCATCCACAGTGCACTGAGGGCTATGAATATGACAGTGTGAGAGAGCAGTGCCGAGGTAAGACATGGCATCAGCATGCCAATGACTTTTACAGTTGCAAATCGATTAGAAATATAAAGAAAATGAACAATATAGCAATAGGGTCAGCTGGCTCAGCCTGTGCTCTTGTTACAGACATCGATGAGTGTGCCTTGTTGGATGATGCCTGTAAAGGTGGGATGCAGTGCATCAACCACTTTGGGGGGTATCTGTGCCTCCCCAAGAATGCAGTGATCTACATCAGTAAGGAGGCCACAGATGTGGTGTCAGAGGTGGGCCCCCCTGTGGTACCAGTGGCCCCAGTGCAGCCGCAGCCGCCCAGAGTGTTCCCCGGAGGGCGAGGGGGGTCCCAGGGTACCCGCACGGTGCACTGCACCCCTGGATTTATCGCAGATGACCAGAACCTGTGCAGAGGTAAGACTGAACACTATAGTATGACTGTAATGGAACATGACTCACTGGTTCATGTTTCTATGGAATCTACACGATGCACATAGACGCATTCAGATCATTCACGTTTACCAAACTCAGGGTGATTGTGCTTGATTGTTTTTAGTAATAATAATAATAATAATAGATTTTATTTATAATGCACTTTACATTTCAGGGAAACCTCAGAGTGCTACAAAAACAGGGAACATCCCCAAGATAGTTATTTAGAGACTGTCACATTAATAAAAAACTGAGCTTGATATAGAACATTTTATATTTTTTGGTGGCGATTTTAAGCAAGTATAGTATTTTATATATATTAGGATGAGCTTTCACGAGTCCCTGTGGCAACCCAACGCGTGCTCCTTTGGCATTGTAAATGTTTCCATTGGCCTCTCACATGTGGAAAGCAGCTCTTATCAGTGAAGGTGCTGCTGAGTGCTGTCTTGAGTGGAGAAATGGGATAGCGTCATAAACCCAATTGGAAGTGTGATTCAGCGAGTACTACTAAACAATAACGGTATAATAATCAAAGGAATTACTTTTCGATCTCCGGGTGATGACAGGAGAGCCTTGACAAGCGCGGTGCTGAAGCCATCTGCTTGACAGCCATCGGCAGCTCACCAGATGTGTTGCAAGTTTCTCCTTTCGCTGTGATGTCATGTTCACTGTGATGTTTTTGGATCCAGTTCAAAAATTCTCTAAAAAGTGTGTGTTTTGGGTGATGAAATATTCAGCTGCAGAGATGAAACAAGAGGGTCTTACACCTCAGTATTCTGTAGTGTTGTAAGTTGTCACTGATGCTCCCATTGGAATACACTTGCTTTGATTTTCTAACGATGTTGGATGTTTTAAATCCTGTATAAAGAATGAGTGTAGGTCTTTTATCCACACAGATGCAGGCTTTCCACTGTTCAGGGCAGATTTTCAATTGACAAATACAAATACAAACAATGTTTTTTTTTTGCTAAGCTAACTTTAAAAGCAAAAAATGGGACAATGTATCTATTACATATCTATAATCGTTTTCACTAGTTCGCACATGCATGTATTTCTGGCCTCTGTCACATCTTGAGATGGGCCTTCGTCCGAAAAAATAGATGACCAGCAAATCAGCTCAAAGTCTGATTGTGACTCAAGGTAAAAAAAAAAAAAAAAAAAAAAGAAGAAAATTCAATCAAAGTATTTTATTGTTTATTGTTATGGGAAAAGCGATTAGAGTTGGGTGTGGCTGCAACTTAACAAGGTTAAGCGTTTTGAAAACTGCCTGAGATACCCGAAAAAGAACGTGATTTCCTGCCGTTTAGTGTGACGAAAATCGAACTTTTCATGCAGTGAACAAGGTTCAATTCATTCATTCAGTTTAGTGTTTTATGGCCCCAAATCACAACAGCCTTCAAGGGCGTCACAAAATTTGCAGATTAGAAAAAATCAAACAAGTCATGATAAATACAACAATAAAACAACTAAGAGTCAGGTTAACTGTAAAATGTCCCGGGTCATCCCCGAGGTAGAGGGCTGACCAACCAGTCCATCAGCAAGAAACAACTTAAAAAAACAAAAACATTATTATAAATGGTGAGTTTGTCGTTGTGAAAAGGCATTGACAGATAATAATGTTTTTCTCCTGAAGGCTGACGACAATATTTCTTTCTCACAAATTTGCAAAAAGATACAAGGCTTTCTAATACGACAAAGACGCCATGTTGACAAAATGTAGTATTTATGAAGCTAAATGTAGGTGCTCCAGCTTCAAGTGCAGATCCTTTGATTGTTTTTATAGTGCTGGCATAAAGTATACACAAACACCAGAACAAAAACATTTGGCTTAATTTATTAACAACTTGAACCATTTGAAATGTTGCGTTGTTTTTTTTGGCTGGATGTCTGGCTCGCTGCAGGAATTCCCATTATCTGTCAATAGGGGAAACCTCAGTGTATCAAATAGCGCTTGTGTCAGTGCTAACTCACCACTCTGTGCAGGAAACCTCCAAATGCAGCATCAGGCAGGTAAAAAGGAGAAAAGTAACCTCAAGCAAAGCGTAGCCATGGCCAGCTTGTTATAGCCCCAGTACATGCGGTTAGCTGTTCTGGCAAAAACTGGTTACGCAAGGCCAATTTTCCAAAAAACTGTAAAAACTAATCCAAACGACGCTGTTCTGTATTCTGTGAAAACGCCAAACAAGCCACAAATTATATAATGGACTTTGCCTGACTCCTGAAAGATTTGTTCCATTTTCATTTGCAAATTGGCTATAAAACCCCCCGTTTGCCCCGGTCAATGAACTAGCAAAGCCGGCGTGTTGTTTTAGTGACACATGGGGGAAGCTGGGCCGGGAAGCCTTTCTGTACTTGTGTTTTTTGTCGTTGTGTACAGTTTGATGGCCTTAAACTGTGCATTTCCATGAACGCCACCACATTTCCAATATAGAGTGGTGTTTACCGCTGCTGCCTACAAAAGCTGTGTTGTACGGACCTTTTGAATACATATGACATTCTTGATGACATCTTTGGCTAATAGCAGGAGTCAGCACTTTTTTGCTTCTGGGCTACAAACCATAACCTACATATATGCTCACGTACACACACCCAATGTCAGGGAGAAGCCAATACAATGTAGGGTTTTAGGTTTTTCAGCAGTTAAACATTATTAATTAAAACTGGAGTACCTAACTTTGAAACAAACAAAAAATAACTGGCATAAATAAAAAATAAATACAGTTCATTGAAAAATAAAGGATTGAGGCCCAGGCTCAGCCCATGTGAACAAAAATACAACACTATTTATGCATTTTTATGTTCAAATCTGCAAAACAAAACAAAATACAAAAATCTATATTACCAAATTGCATGGCGCCGTAAAGATGCCGCCGTGGCAAGAGCTCTGGTGTGTGTCGTCTGTCTGGTGCACACTGGGGTAGTCTTGCACAGTTTTTCCAATGTGGTTTTACTGCAAATGGCAAATAAATGAATCTGAATCTGAAATAAAAAAATGTATATTGTATTTCATTTAGAAATATTGATATTCACATTATGAAGCAACAAGCAGGCTGCTGTCTGACATTTCTGTTGAAAGAAAGCCCAGAGAGTATAAAATGAGTACAATAAATGACTAAAAGATCATAATATACATAGAAAATATTTGTATATGAAATTAAAATCATTTTATCATTATGTAAACTCAACCAAAGCTTTTCTATGTTTGCATTTCTTAAATCCTACAAATTCTTCCTTCCTTCATCTTCCTGATTTTCTTGCCATTGTCCTTATGCAAACCATATCTACCGCAGCAGCAAAGCCATCACCTTCCTCATCTTCTTCTCCTATTCACCATCAAACATCAACGTTCCTTTCAAACCCCTCGTCATTCACTGCCTCTCTCTCTTGAAATCTCACCCATGTCATTTGTCTTTGTATGTCGAAATATCACAAAAATAATTATAATCCTTTTGACTTCCTAATTTCACAAGCTCCTGATGCAGCCTACAGTTTATATTTCATCTCAAAATTAGATCTGTCTGCAGCGTGGGACGTGAGCCGACACGCCGCCTGTGTTTACCTGTCTGGTGTGCCGAGGTCACGCAGGCCACATTACCACCTTGACATGCCTGCGTCTCTGGGACTCATGGATGCGGCGAAATCTTTCCTAATCGTCCCATTAAGCGCAGCTAAGCCCGGAATGACAGCGGAACTTGTGTACTTTTCCGAACAAGGCGGCGTGCATGCAGTTACATTTTTCCACAAAGATGCAATGCACTCGGGAGGAATATCTCAGGAATGTCAGCGCTTGTTTTTTTTTTTCCGTTTGCTCCCATCTTTTGTGATGGTAAGAATTACTCACCGCCTTCCTTGACAGATAAGCGTCGGATCGATCCATGAGGAGCAGGAATGCGCGGTGCGGGATGCTGCCAGAGGCTTCATCTTTTGACCTTTGGAAATTTCAACTTCAGTCTTTAGTCTGAAGTTGTGACAGATTGTGGAGAGAAAAAAATAAAATAATAAAGAGTAGGGTCTAGGGTTGATTCTTGCACCTCAGTATTGCAATAAACATAGTCTTAGTCTTGCAATATCTCATTTACAACTATTTTATGTTTGTGCGCTGAATAGATTTTGAAAAAGAAAAAAGTCAAACAAACACATTGTCTATCTTCAAATAAGAGTTAGGGTTTGGAAACTCCTCTTCTGACCCTGATCAGAAATCTCCATCCCCCAGTTGTCAATAGTGTATTTCCCTCTATCATCTATGACAGCTTGGAGTCTTTAGTGGTAGTTCTGGATGAGGTTATGTGTCCTCTCTGATGTAAAGCTGCCCATTCTTCTTAGAGCATGGGTATCAAAGTCAAGATCCAGCCCGCGAATTAATTATCTTGGCCCCCGGGATGATATTTGACTGATGTTAGAAGTGGCCCGCACAAAGCCATAATACAATATTGGATTATTCATTCAATGTTCAGGTCATACAAAAATAATGGATTATTCATTTAATCATTAAAACAAAATGCGGTACAAGGTCTTGATTCAATAGGTTGTATACAATATTTTTAATATGTTTAGTTAAACATTGAAACTGTCCGGCCCTTGGCTTGTAGTTTATTTGTCTTTTTGGCCCTCTGATGTATTTGACTTTGACATCCCTGCCTTTAGAGCAAACATCCTCCAGTTCCTGTAAATTACTGGGCCGTCTTGCATCAACTACAAATTTGAGCAGCTCAGTGTTGCTTTAATTTGAAAATGGAAAACAGGTATTTTAAAGATATATTTCATTATCCCTTGGGAACGTTTTTTGACGACAACTAAGTTTGGAAATGAATAATAAAGAAATCATAAATTTATAACTAGGTTTGTAAACTTTCAAACACAACTGTATGTGCTTTCAAACTGTGAATCTGGATTAGCTTTTCCACAGATTTTCCTCTAACTTGACTGTGCAAACCTACATAGAGAATCTCATGGTGTCAAGCAGGTGGCAAACCTTAATGTTGACAACGGATTGGAACAAAATGACAAAATAGAGAAGTTTTTCACACGGAACATACAGGATGCGATAAAACATGCTGGAGCTTGGAGTTGGGATCAAGAGCAGAAAGCTGTTTGATGAAGAAGGTTCTAGGCTCAAAGCAGCAGCCACCCGAGGCACACCTTTGTGTCTGGATACCCGTCCAATTAGGCCGTCGTACACCTGCGCTCTCACACGTGTATTTAACGCTGGCTACTGGCAGTGACGCTGCATTCTCTGTGCACCTGTTGCATTAGCACAACACGTTTCAGGAAGACAAAGGCATAAAACAGCTGTGAATCCATTTGTCAGACTGTACAATGAGTCACTTTAAGTCACTAATGCACGAGGACTGAAAACACTGCTATTGCCACTCTTTCTTTTATTGCTACTTTTTGTTGTTGTACATAATTATAACCTTTTTCTGTCTTTTGCACAACCTGAGTGATTCTATCTATGCCAAATGTGACATGTTCATTTCTCCAGTCAGCGATCAAGAAAAAGTCTATCTTATCTTATCGTATCAGTGTGGGCACAGGTCTGATCAGTGTGTGAATGTAGTTACACAGTTGAACTTGTTACTCAGCACAGAAATATCTCAAAATGTCAATGTTAAAAACGTTGAACTTTAATCAGAAGGAATCGTTATGACCCGTTTGGCTCAGAAAGCAGATCAGAAACAATAGATACCAAGACGGTAAAATCTAAATCTAAAATCATAATTCGTTCAAGTGACAAAGTAGATAAGGAATAGGATTGAATGTTTTTTTTTAAATAAAGTAAATCAATAACCTATAAACCTATAAAAAAGGATGCACTTTACAGAACTGTAATCACAACTAAAAAACACAGAAAGGAAAGTCTGAACTAAACATAAACAAGTCACTGACTCCAGCCATGTGAATAAACTATCATTTATTTGTGATCGTGGCACACAATTCTGTATATGGCACAAAATGCATCTGGTGAGAAAGTAAACATTCAGCCATCTTCAGCTCCATCAAATGTGAATCTATAAGAACAGGATCTCATGCCTCATTCTAAAGCCTCATTCTCGCCTGAATCCGCTCAAAACTGTTTCTCAATCCTGGTCATGGGTCGATGGTCAAGTCTCTTCATCCTGTGGCCCTTTTACAAAAAAACCCTTTCTGCCATTTTCATCTCATACTGGCTACAGTGTTACTAGATTATAACAAATTAAATTAATATCTGTAGGCGTATTTATATTTTTTTACTTAAATTGATTTAGCTTTTATCCAGTTTTATCACTTGCAAAACAAATAAAGGATCAGGTATTTAGATTTGGGCAACAGTAGCTCAGTTGGTAGAGCCTTTGAGCCAGAAGGTCGTGGGTTCGACCTTGGCAAGACACTTAACCTCTGGGAACACCTGATGCCACAGTGGGGCAGGTGCGGCTGTAAAGTGCCAAACTGCCGTTGTGTCCTTAGGCAAGACACTTTACCCCATTGCCTAGAATGAGTCTGGTGTGTGTGTGAATGGTTGGTGGGGGTCGGAGGGGCCGATGGCACATACTGGTTGCCTCGCTTCTGTCGGCGTGCCCCAGGGCAGCTGTGGCTACAGTAGTAGTTTATCACCGCTGTGTATGGAGTGAATGAATAATGACACATGTAAAGCGTCTTTGAGTGTCCAACAAAGCGCTATATAAAACCGATGCAATATTTAAATCCAGCCAATCAGCTTTCATCCCAAACCCTTATATAGTGAGGCTCGTCATTACAAGTATGTGTTAGCTCATTTTTCATTTTGTATTTTGATTCAGGTAATTGCACACAAACACATTTGGACTTTTACAGACTGCCTTACTTACCTGCACCACTTCAGGAAATAGCCTACTCATGTTATCAGAGGCGATAATGGACTACAATATATTTCTTTAGCTTCGCAATCTGTCAGAAGAAACACTTGACTTGCTTTGTTCTGAACATTTATTACCATTAACAAATTGCGAGGCCCCTCCCCTGGACACCCACAGGAGTGCAGTGGAGCATGGGGGAGCTACCAATCATGCAACAGGCTGTGCAGACCCCGTCCAGCTGCCTCTCCACTAAT